ATGAATGTTACACCTATCTAACAAAATAACCAGCGCTAACATGTCCATACAGTGCAGAAGAATGTTAAATATACCTAGTAATATGACAAGTACATAATAACTCCACTCATCAAAGAATGTTAGATCCACCTGGTAAAATAACACATGGAGAAGTCCATACAACCGAGATGAATGTTACACCTATCTAACAAAATAACCAGCGCTAACATGTCCATACAGTAAGGAAGAATGTTAAATATACCTAGTAATATGACAAGTACATAATAACTCCACTCATCAAAGAATGTTAGATCCACCTGGTAAAATAACACATGGAGAAGTCCATACAACCGAGATGAATGTTACATCTATCTAACAAAATAACCAGCGCTAACATGTCCATACAGTACAGAAGAATACTCTCTAAGCAAGAGCTTTAGCTAAAAATTACAAAATTCAAAACAATAAACACTACTATGATATTAATTTAGGGATATCCTTAATGTTGTGTGTTTAGTTAATTGCAACAGGAAGTCGGTATAAATTATAACATTGCTAATTCCAGAATTTGCATGTTGACTGTTAGCTACATTTGCTGTACTATTGATAACTTTTGAATTTGTTTTGAATTTTATTGTTATTCAGTTCTGAATCTGGAGATCTGGGATATTTGATTTTGAGAAAATCCTTCAATGGGGTTTTTGTGATTTGTTAGAAATATTCCTTCTTTAGATAAGTGACTGAGATTTAGGAATTATTGTCATACTATTACACTGTGAACTAACATTAAAAGTTTTCATAAACACATAAGAAACTCATAAAAGCAAGTAGTTCAGTAACACTGATCATAGAAATTTACACAAAGTAAGAGATTAAGTGGTGAACTTTCTTAGTGTAGTTTTGAAATGATTGAAATGTGGAATAATGATGTTAATCAATATTTATGTGAATCACAAGGATAATTTTTCACAAGTGTTTGAGAATATTCCACCATATATGGTAGTGAAGGTGAGAACAGTATTTGTCTTGCAAAGAGATTTAGACAAATTCTCTTTAGTTTTAAATTGTTTGAAATGTAGATAACGGTTTGTATCTGCTTAACCATACAGAAAACTACAAATACATGGAGCAACATGGGAAATGTCAACATCAATGTGGAAGACCTCAGCAGGGGCAAATTGGCTTCAAAACCTTCACCACCAAGTCTGAATCAAATGGCAGGTAATAAATCTGAGAAACACATTTAGCAGTAATCAAATGTATTGCAGGTAATACATTTTGTTGTTTGAATCATATTTACCTGATGTAGGTGAAATAACATCATATTTTTGTATTAAAGTACATATAACTAATATGATAATACCTCTTGTTTTTTATAACTATATATGTATCAGTTATAAATTAGCAGGTAATAAATGTTATACTAAAGTCATGCATGCAGAAGTAAACTATCCAGTAGTCACACACCCTCTTTCTTACAGTAAAATTTTCAACACTTAACTATCTGACTGGTAATATGGATGTTCCTACTGGTCTATGTAGAAGGATATAAACCTAGAGCTAACAGCCTCCTCTTCCACCAGTGATAGTATTCTGTGTGATTTGGTCCTGATTTATTATGTACTGTTGCTCTTCTACAGTGCCATTTCCACTTCTTGAGACATTTGTGCAATACATTGAGGTCAGTGTTGTTCCTGTCTAGACATTCTTTCTAAAGTTCATCAGTGGCATGAATGATGTCTTCTAAAGGCTCATTTAAGCAATCTGAAAGCATAGAAGTCTATGGAAGACATTTGTGAATGGTATTGCATGAATTCCCAGTTATATTTGTTTCTTGCATGTGGGTGGATGCTTTGTTTTGATGGAGCTATCCATAACTTATTGCCATTCATTCCACTAAAAGATGATATTTTTGTTCAGTAATATGATGTCAGGACGATAGCCTAATAGTGTGTAGAGTTCAGCTTGGTGTTTTTCTATTCTAACTATAACATGCAACCATTATAAATCCACTGTGCACACATGGAACAGGAAGTTTTCATTGAGCTCTGTTCTTTAGGAAAAGCTTGTGCACAAGGTTCTTGTGTTTGCTTTTGTAGCCCTGAAGAAATGTATTGATGAAGTACTTCATTCAACTCTCACTTATTTTTTTTAATTAATAACATCTTTTATAAGATTGAGCAAAATTTAACACCTGTTTAAAATACTAATGTACCATGCTTATAAAATAATTGTCATATGTGATTATTTGCATAAGGAATTAAACAATATTTAAAGGTTTCTAAATTAAAATGGTTTTAAAAATAGTATTACAGATGGCATATACGTAATTGTTCAGATAAATTTGACAATTTTAAACTAATAAAATTCAATGTTCCAAAACAAACAATAAGTATAATATAACCATATAAAAAAAGCATATGCTAAATGTAAGGTAACAAAATCAATTATGTAAGCTATATCATCCTATCCAGAAGTTGATTTAAAGAGTAGTTTTTATAACCTAAAAATTGAATATGAATTTTTTTCAGATATAGAGACAGAATTTTTGAATTAAAAGGTGATATGAATTTAAATATCCTAGGTGTAATTATAGATATATAAGTTTGACCAATAGCTAATTAGAAACACGCATAAAGGAGTGTGCAAGTTCCAATATGATTACTTACCTCCAGTCACAGTTACAGCTAATCTCAATTTGACTGCCTTCTAGTATGCAAATTGTATCTCCCATTAGCCTTTTGAAACTCCCACCCAATTCCAAAGACAAACCATATGATTCAGCTGCATTTAAGCATGCAAATTAGCATGTGACAATCTTCCACCAATAGGAGTGTGACAAACTCTCCTATCGCAGCTGACTCCCTCTAATCAACTGAACCCAATCTTCACTTCTTGGTGTGGCACAACAGTGTCAAGACGTGCTTGATTTCAAACTTTTTTTTCTCTTTAGTGCATTTTGTAAATATTCAGTTACTAATTTTTAAATTTCAGAGTATTGTTTATAATCCACTATCAAGTTGGATTTCTTTATTTAATTATGAATTTGGTTTCTCACTCACTTATTGGTAGTTATTCAATATTTATGAACTCACAACTTAATATTACGACTGCATTGGCTACTGACGGTTCTGGCATTCAACAGCCCACAACAGTGGCTGCAGGTGCAGCGTTATCAGCAGAGTAAGTGTAGGCCATAGTTAGTCTAAAGGATGGCTTCCTTCTTGTGGACTGAGGGATCTCCTGATCTATAAGCAATTTTGCCATGACCTGAGGTCTTAGATCAAGATGATGCAGACTTGGACAGCCTCCCCCCCTTTCCTTTGCTGTGCAGGCACGGTCTCAACCTGTTGAAGCACTTAGACCTCAGTCACCATTTTTAGATTTGATATCACAGATATGTTGTGTTTTATCTTTGTCACCTGTGTCATTTGATCCTTCTCCTTCCTTATTAACTGCAGCACCTAGTTCTGAGTCCCTCCCCTGATATTGGGGTCCATACTAAACATTTTGCAGATCAATTATGTGCTGGGGTTAGTATGCCATGCCCTCTCATACTGCAAAGGCTCATGCACTTGAATATCATCATTCAACAAACCCTTGGGTCATTCAAGTCTTTTCGGATGGACTCTCTCTCTCCTTTTCCTCACACCTCCCACCTTATCCACTTTACCTCCCCCCCCCCTCAAGATCCCATTTCCTACCAGTGTTTCACAGAAGTGGTTCAAGACTTTCTCATCAAGGGTGCCATCAAACAAGTTTTCACCTGTGCTTCCTGGATTCTGTTCTGGCTTTTTCATTGTCTCCAAGAAGGCCGGGTATTGGTGACCTGGTTTTGATCTTCATCCATCTGTTCCAACACTCTTCTTTCATGCATGGCTTTTTTTCCAGTCCCTTGGGAGGGATTCAGGACTATCCACATATGTAGTGTCCCTGTTGTCTCGCACTGTCCATTCCTCATCCATGTCTATGTATCAATATAATTGAAGAATATTCGGGCTTTGTTCTCTCTTTCCTTGCCTCACCTTCCTCAGGTATCTGATTTTTTACATGGTTGTTTGACACGGGTCTGTCCTTTTCACCATTGTGGGCTATAGGGCAGTCCTATCATATGCTTTTTGTTTGTGCCATGTGTTTTCTTCTCCAGTTATTTCCCTTCCTTCCATATCTCATATTTACTCCCGGTCTAATCCATATCGTCTCCTATGTCCAGTTTGTGCTTTACAGAGTTATATGTCATGCACAGCATCCTTTTGTGGCTCTTTCTCTCATTTGTTTATCTATTGGAATTCTTCCATTTCTCATGATATTTCACCCATCACCGGTTAGATTTGTCAGGTTATCTGTATTGCATATTCCTCCCTTTCACCTGAATCTTGCCAATTTTTCTGTGTATCATCACTCCTAATGTCTGCGGCTGCTCATTTCCATTGTCCTTTGGAGGGGATTATCCAGGCTAACATGTGACCATTTTCCACAATTTTGAGTTGCACAACTTGCACCATCTGGCAGTTTCCTGCTCAGCTGGATATCGTTTTTCCCTGTAGCCATTCTCAACATGTCAGTACAACTCTGGGTGGGTAAGTTATTTGATTACATTTCTCCGTTTCACTTTGTGGCGAGTGGTGCCTGTCCATGTATACTGATATCCAAAATTTGCACCATAAGATCTATAAGGTCTATTACTTTCACTGTTGAGATAAGGTGTTCCACAAGACCATTTGCAAGTTTTCATTGCTCTTTCTCCGACGATGCATTGGGAAGTCCTGAAAAACAGTGCTTTGGAAACAGTGCAACAGGTAAATCAAGTTCCCAAAATTTTTGAAAGCAAACCAACCTCAGTTTATTCAATCCGATGAACAGCAGGGATGGGCAGGATGCCCCTTATGCTTTATTCATGATATTCCATGAGTGGTGGTTCACCATAGTACAGTAACATCATCTGGTCAGCTCCTAGGTGATCTTATGGCTTCATCACAGTCTACAATGTTTTATGTCTCTTTCAATAAAGGTTTATACAACTAACCACACTACTCAATCTTAACCAATACTTGGACCTACAATGCCTTTTCTAATGCTTCTAAGCTGCAAGTGTTTGTTGTAGAATTGTGCACATCAACATGTGTGTACTTTTTATAGAAAGTAATCTAGTAATATGGATTACCTATATTAAAAACTATAATATTTGTACAATTAAGGTAATCTAAAACTGAATATGAAAAGATTGGTGTTTTAATGTATTAAAAGCTCTGTTTAACATTATGCATATCAGATTTTAAAACCTAAGTTAAACTAATACTTCTAACTCTGTTTCAACAATACTTTACTCAAAAATGGTTTAGAACTGGTATTTTTTCATTCTTAATATTTATTTAGTGTAATTTATAAGGAAAAATTATAAAAAAAAATTCAAACATTTCTCCATAAGAATCTTATCTTAAACATCAAACTTATCAATTTTTTTTTTCTGTAGAATTTATTTTCCCATTTCAAAGATTAAGTTTTTATTTGCTATGAAACTACCTTCCCTTTAGAGCACAATTAACCATATCTTGTCTTTCTTGTGATGATAATGATATTTTTTTTTTTTTGTAATGATTATTATTAAAGGCTTCTGTTCCAACCTATTTATGACCTTTTGACATACAATGTGAACAACTACCAAAGAAGAATAGCTTTCAAAATGCTTTTAAATACCATGGAGGGAATAAAGTGGTGTGGGAAGTTATATATGGTTTTGTGGGAAAGTAATAAGACCTAGCTAAAAAAGAACTGTTGAATTTCTGATAGGAATTTTAGAAGAATTAGGACCAAATTGCAGACCTGGGAATTTTTTATGGTTTCTTTAGACATTCCTTTAGTTCATGAAAAAACCTTTTCATGTTAAATCATATTTGTTTGAAAGCTATGGCAATTTTCTTCTATGAAAAGACATCTGATAAGCTTAGTTGGGTTTAGAGAGTGGGATAAATGATGGCAAAAATATGCTGATTACTCAAAAATGAATCAGTTCCTTATTTATTGTGTTCAAACAATGTAGATAAGTAAAAGAACTTGACCCCATTGTGACAGGTCAGGTCATAGGTCACAGAGAAATCTTTGTCAGTTTTTTGCCCTGTTTTGAATGATTTATTTAGCCAGAAGTGACCACTGTAACCATCGAAATAAAAGTATCAAAAAAATGTTAATGAATATTTCAATCAAATTGAAACAGATTGGATATATAAAATGCAACTTTCTGATGAACAATAAGAAAATTCTACAATGAAAGCAAGTATTTTATGTTTTTTTCCAAAATAGTTTCTTGAAGAAATTTTGCAGAATTTCACAACATGAAAATGTATATGGAAATAAATAAAATTACATTTTTTTTTATAGTGAAACTTGAAACTATTTAGTTAAATTTTACCAAGACTCACGCAAATTGGTTTAATATTTCCACTTTGAAAAGGAAATAAATCAAAGGACATCACTGACAGGGAAGAAGTTTGACTTCATTAAAGTTAAACTACTACAGTTTTAACTATATTACATCATGTGATTTAAAAAAATATTGATCAAGGGTTGTATCTTCCAGAAGAAGGAAGGGGAACATTACCCAAAAAACAGTAGGAATATTAATAACTAAGACAACTGAATGTACTGTTTATTATCAATTAAATTTTACTGTCATTTTGCAGATGTTTTAAGTAAAAGCTGCTACAAATGGTACTTGCACTTGAACTCAGGAAGCATTTTATCTTTTCAGTGTGTGAAAGATAAAGGTCTCTACCTAACTAAGCTACATTCTCTCTAGTGTCGGTGGATGTAACTTTTACATTCCCATGCACAAAAATGCATTTCTGCATGAATTTGGAAGTGCAGAAATTTTGGAGCGTGCAACATATAGTGAAATCATTAACAAAACAGTATAATTAAAAAATAATATTCATAATTAACATGTTACATAACTTGCACCAACACTAATTATTATTATTCTCTTACAAGTAGTCAGCATTTAGTCAGCAGGTAATCGAACATGAATATGGAACCTTTGTAGCAGGTTCTAATATATAACTCAGAAGCCAGTGTAGCAGGAAATCTACTACATAATTCAGGAACCAGTGTTGCAGGCAAGTAATCTAATATATATAAAATGCAAGAGCAAATGTAGCAGAAAATCAATATATGACAACATCAATCAAGGAAAACATAATTTAATGTAAAAGAATACTGGTGATGAATTATTTAAAATGAGCAAACCTAGTTATATGTTCTCATGATGATGGCGGGCTTTATTCTTAGTAAGTTTTTCCCAGCTACATTTTTCTCGTATTGATGTATAAAAAATGGTAAATAATAACTCGCCAACCATAAATTGATAAGCAGATATGGAAATGTAGAATGTAAACATGAAGTATGGAAATGTAAACATTAAGTATGGAAATGTAAACATTAAGTATGGAAATGTAAACATTAAGTATGGAAATGTAAACATTAAGTATGGAAATGTAAACATTAAGTATGGAAATGTAAACATTAAGTATGGAAATGTAAAGTGTAAACATGAAGTATGGAAAATTTAAACATGAAGTAATGTTCATGATTAAAAGCCACACAAGACTGCAGTTTCTTGTGTAATTAGTTCCTTAGAGATTTCAAATCAGAGAAATATAAAAAAAAAAGTAGGATTTTAACTCTTTTCCTTTATCCACTATGTATCACTACTCAGGAGGCCTTTGTTCAATATCAGAACGTGTAATCTGGATTGGAGATGGTGGCAGGTAAAAATTTATCCAAAATGACATTTTCTATGGAGTATGAAGCATTTAATATTACAGTGTTATCTGAGAAAGTAGTGAAACCAATAGGCCTAATGTTTGTGATATAAGAAATCTAGTATAGGGTGATTTTCGTTACATATATTAGGCAAATTGGTTTTATTTCTTTGCTTGTGCTTGACATTTCACATTGCAACAAACTAATACAGTTACAAGCTAGTTAGCACTCCAAATATACCTAAATTAACTCTACTCCATTTTTTCCTTTTGTAAGTGAAATATTAGTTCTGCTATGTGTAATTGTGCTATATTTCCTTTTTTTGCAGTTATGAATAATTTAACTTCTGGTGTCCAGCAAATGAGTTTTGGTCCAAATCAAGTTCAGCCAAGACTTGGAAATCCTAGCAATGGTAAATTTTGTCTTCTTCCTTTCATTAGGAAATGAGAGTTAGTGACTTAGTTTTATAGAAATACAAAAGTGCAATAGTTGTATGAATAAGTTTAGTAGTTTTGTTCAAGATAAGTGTTATTGCTGCTATTTTGTAAAATACAACTATGTGCAGCAATGTTTAACATTTATGGAGTTTGTGTTGTAGATGAGAGTAGGTAGTGTAGTGTGTATCAGTAATTTTTTTATATTCTAAGTATAAAATACTAGATATCTGAACCATAAATGTTCAAATACATGTTGAAATAACTGAGATTTTATAGCTAGTTTACTGCCCTTTTCAGTAACGTTATTGACTACCAGGTGGTCCAGTGTACCTTTTGTATAAATCCATGACTATACATAGTCACACAATACATTAATTTTTGGATTTTTTTGTTGTTGTTGCAATTTTTATCCCAAATACAAATATAATCACAGTTTTTCTTGCATTTGGTTGTGGTAATTTTTGTACCCAATAAAGGTTTTGAAATACTTTAAAGTGGGCCAAATCAACTTGGAAATGGAGGTTTTTGGCTCTAGTTTGCTTGTTTTAAGTTGGACCCCGAATACGATCCTAGACTTTACCAATTTAATTTGGAAACAAGGATTCAGTGATTTATATTTGCTAAACTGAAGTTGAACTATTATTATTATTCTATCCTTTACAATCCTTCATATTCATATCTCTCTACTAATTTGTGTAAGGTTATCTGATGTTTGCTTTTTCACGGAAGTTCTTGTGGAATTCACAGTGTTTTTTAAATTGATTTCTGGTCCATTCTGATGTTATCAGTGTCTTGATTTTGTACGAAACTTTGTTCTTTATTTTTTGCACTCACTCACTGTTCATCTTGATATCCATTTTCTACCTTCTTCATGAACCAAACTTGAACACCAATCTTAGATTTAGTTAGTTTTATTAGCCATTTGGTTGTTGTTTCTATTTTCTTTTTACATTAAGCTATTAACTCATTCTTATGTTTGTTTTCTGTATGTTAATCGGATCATAGTAGCCTCTTAGATAATATGGTGTTCAGTTCTTGAGGTATTCTCTAGTTACCAATATGTAGCTTACATCCCAGTTAACTGGTTTTATTACAGGTAGTTAATTTTGTTTTTACAAATCTATATAAAAAAAAAGTACTAAGGCAACTTAGATGCATTTCTTATTGCTAACTATAATAATCAGTTAATGTTGTTTTACAATGACAAGACAAAAAGGAAGAAACTGTGAAATCTATAATCATGTCAATAGTTGATATGAACACCACATGTTTTTGAAATATGTTTCTAAATTATTTATGTGCCAAATTACTTGTGGGTCTATGACTTTATTGGTTACAGGATTCCTCAGACACAAAAATTTCAGCAAAAAATGGGATTTCCTCTATGTATGTTACATATAAAATGAATAATATCATCCACAGCTTTTTGGAATGTTCGTTACAGTGAATGTTGAAAGAAAAACAAAACAAAAATTACTCAGTATGATGAATTATGTGGACCTCAAATATTAAACACCATAAAAACAAGTTGGTAAAGTGAGGGTTAAAGAAAATTAAGAGGATTTGATTACTGACTATGACTTTTGAAAGTAAACAATAATGGTTTATGACAAAATTCAGTGTGTTTTAATACCACACAAAAACAGTTGTGGGTAAGGAATATCATATGATAGACAATCAGGCACAAACTACAATGTAAAAAATGAAGTAATTTTGCAATTTTTAGCTTAATTAAATTAATTTTCATCAAAATATCAGAAATCTTAAATAATACCAATGATTTCAAAACATTTAAGATATTATAAAACATTTATATTCATATTTATTAACGTGTGTTTAAACCAGAAATATTAAGTCAGTTGTACACTTGTTTGAATGTTATCACTTTACAATTCCTTGTTACATTCAACCTGAGGCTTCAGTCAATTCAACTCCTATGTCATTGACTTTTGGTTTGAATAACTTAATTTTTTAGCTTCTGTTTATGGTTTGTTTTGCTTCTTAGAAAATGTAAAACTTATTTATTATTTTTGGTACAACAGAAAATTTGTGAAAATGCTTTTATTTATAATCTCAACACTTCTGGCTTGTTATGTCTTAGTTTTATTAAGTGTAATCGAAACTGTTAGATTGAGAAAATTAAAAATAGTGTATTGTTTAACTTCTTTCAGGATCTCTTCTGATAGGTGGTATGCCTCATCACCAGCCAGGGATTTCCAGTTCTCAGGGACCTCTGGGAATGTGATAATAATTCATTATATATCATTAATGTGCTTACAATTAAAATAATAGAATGTCCACCACCTGTAAAAATACAAACAAGATGGGTGAAACTTTCAATGTGAATCTGAAAAACAGGTTCAAAGCAATATTACAGCATTAGTATGTTATTAATATTCATCTAAAATTCTATTCAATGAAGAACAAGAAAACTAAACTTTTCATTGTGAGCTCTATGCATTACAGTAACATGAAATTATTTTTCTAGTTATGTTTACTAAAATAACCTGTGTAAAATTGAACTGTAATCCCTTTGTATACCTACTGAGCTTCATGCAACATAGTAATGTGATTTATTTTTTTTAAGTTTATGGAGGCAAGATTACGTTTAAAGGTTATTAGTTATATATATATGCTGTTTCAGTAACATACTTGCATATTATTAAACTGTATTTTATATCACATTTTTATTCTTTCACTTGTGACACGTTGTTCTCGTCTCTGTAACTTGCCACATTTTTCTTGTCTTTGCAACATAGTTTATAATATTCAATCCCTCGTTCTATAGTGCATGAAAATAATTCCAAGTATTTCATTCTATATTTACTAAACTAACAAGGAAATATTTTGTCTTTAAAATAGCATGTCTCTTACTTTGTCCTCTAATTCTGTATTTGGTGCTATAATTATTGCATATGGTGTAAAGATTTTTTTCATACTGCGTGCCTGATGCATTCTGGAATAACGTCAGTTTTACATTTTCCTGTAGTTCCTGTTATAAGGCGGGGTGTTATAACCTTCTTGCTGTCAACAGTGGCCTGAACTATTGGGTCTTTTTTTGCAATGTGTTTACTCTTGTGTATAATGCATATTGTGAAGGTTTTTCTACTTCACTGCCCACTATATTAAGTTTTTGACATTCTGATACATTTATAACAATTTTTTTTCTACCATATACGTGCAGGTTTAGCAGATAGCATATTGTACATCGTTCGCTTTGACACTTACTTACCAATGGTCTAAAGTTTATGACTTTGTTTATTATACTGGAAAAAAAAATATCAGATTAAAATTAGTTGTTTCATCATATTGAAATCTGTTTGTGTGTAAATATATATATGTGTGTCAGTAGTATTCCATGTGTATAAAGGTAGGAAAGTGATGATGATAAAATATTAAGAGCAAATTTTGTGTGTTATGTTAGTTTACAATGAGACGTTATTTTTGTAATATGATGATATATATTTGGGTGTTTGGGTACTTAAATACTAAGCTTAAAGCACTGTTGATATACAATATTTCAGTCACAAAGTTATCAGATTTCATATTCATATGAGATATGTCAGTACTTGTTCCAGTATATGTGGTATTATGTTTGAAATGTTTTCAGATGGCATTCATTTTGAAGATGTAACTGTGTGAAGTATAATCATGAATGTATGTGGTATTTTAATACTAGGGGAGATCATTTCATCTGTGTTTATTGAGATATTAGTTTCTGAGAAGTGTACTTGGGCAGAACAATACAGGATTTCATCTTGCGTTGAAACAAAAATGTAATATGGATATTGAGTGAGAAATGACAGTAATCTGATTGTATACTTATGCATGTAACAATCATGTTTTTTAGATATATATATATATAAAAGATGTTAAGCTTGAGATTACAACAAGAATCTTGTTGCCTCTTAAGGACAGAGCTTTGAAGTTGTGGCCTTTAAACTGTATGATGGTCACTTTTCTTTTTTGGAAAGATCTAACACTTTTAAGCTTTTATACCTGTTATACAAATCACCATTTACTTTTTGAATGAAAGAGGAGCATAATGTATGTAGGATTTGTAATTTATCATTATATCCCAAAGATTAATATTTGTTTCCACAATTCATAAACAATTTGTGAGAACATAAATACAAAAAGTCATATTCAGTGGTCACAGTGGGTGCCAAATATTATGAAATTTGAATAATATTTTAAGTCTTAATTAGGCTATCCATAGTTTGTTTTATCACTGGTGGTCAGAAACTTATAGAACAGCTCTTGTGCTTTAGAGAATGTTAACTGACAAGGAACTATATACATTAAGCTCTGTTCTCTGAAGAATGATGATCAGAAACATAGTCTACGACAGTTATTGTGATTTATAAGATGTTAGTTGATGAGTTATTGTGTACATTAAGTTTTATTCTCTGAAGACTGGTGGTTGTTTTAGGGTAAGTCCAGTGCTGTCCAGATTGTATGATACTCTAAATTCAAGTTTGTACTTAGGAAACTGATAATGAGGCTGCTTGAAGACTGGGTGTTAGAAAGTTGCTGTAGATTAGGCTCAGCACTCTTAAGCTGATAAGGGTTGTAGATTATGCCCTACTTACCATACTTTTTTGGCATGTTTCCTATGTAACCGAGATATCACCTTGATTATATACATCTGTGCCTTTTAGTATTTAATGTGACTGGTAACAGTAAATTGCAGATTATGTACATCATGTGTTGAGGTCAAAATATCCACAGACGTTCAAGGTTAACAAACACATTTTAATATGTTACAGAAAATGTTTCAGACAACATTCAAGAATGAAGATTTATCATTTCCTCTAATAAAGACTGAATGTGACCTCTCCTTTACTTCTACAATCATCACTCCAGCAAATTTTAACAGATCCATTCTGTAGGCTGTATTGTGGTGTTTTCTTTTATCAAAACTGAATATTTTTCATTATCTTTTATATATATTAACCAAGTTTTTGTTTTATAACTGTACTTTAACTAAGGTTTAATATCATATCCTGTATTTTTTGTGGGTTTGAGATCAATACGATACACAAGTTACTTGATGATTTAACCACTCTCGTTAGGTACTTAAACATAGTTAAACAGGTATGTTCAAAACTATTTTGCCCTTAAATTTATAAGAGAAAACTGGAAAAGTTTTCCTTGTTAAAAGTAAATATGTAGCATTGGCTGTCTTATCTAGGACTGGACAGTTTAAGAATAAAGAACAGTCTTGCATAAAGTTATTGCTCATTCTTTGTTTTGATATTTCTACCTATAAATTCTGCAATGTTGACTCGAGCAGTGGATTAAAAACTGCATATATCAATAACAATGAATTGCTATAAAAAAAGGTGTTTATTCATATCTAACATTTTTGTTTACACATTTATGACAATGTTAATGGCAGAAAGGTATTTTTCTTAACAATATTTGTATCAAAATGGAACATTCATCTACCTCAGTAACCAATAAATGTATATTCAGACCTACTGCTTTGAATTACTTTGTAGTTTCTTCTGGTTATGGATTCAAAAAATTTTCTGTTTAGAACACAGATTTATTTTATGTTAAAAATTTTAAAAATTCATTACAACAAGTGAATAGTATTTTCGATCATTTTTAGCTTCATATCATGTTTTTCAGTGGGCGAAAATGTTTGCATGCCAAGACTAACATTTTTGTAACTTACATATTTTTATTTCCACATTTCCCACTGTGTTAGATTTCCGTGCAATTTCACCTTCCTTTTTCTCGGAGCCGTATACCTCACATTAAATTGTTTGGTACTGAATTGAAGTACACGAGTGCTAAGCCTGGATTCTTTAAAGTTTTCCTACCTTAATCCCACTTTCTAAGCAATTATGTCTTTAAGTTTTTGCTGACATTTAGCGGTATTTGTTTGCTCACATTTCAGTATACTTCCTTTGTAATTTTGGATATAATTTTTTGTTGTTGTTGTTAAAACATGTTTTAAACTGGTGGTATTGAGTAAGTTGCTTTTCAAACCCTCAAAATCAAAATGAATTACAGGAATCGAGAATGTGTATATATGATCTACTTTAATTTTGTTATTTAAAGCAAACATTGTAATAAAACTAATTATCGTCCTACTCTGTCATTTCTTGGCTAAATTTTCAAATTTTATTTCAATGCTATTGGTTTTAGAATTCATCAGTTAAATGTTGTTGGATTATGTTTCTAATTTGCCCTAGCCAATATAAACACTTATCAAGACAAAAACAGGATATGAACCAATTATATAAGTACTTAACGTGACTTGCCAGTCTGGTTAACCTGGGTATTTGAAGGCTTATAATTCCAAATCAGAAAGCTTTCAACAAATCTTAAAAATTATAATCTGTCGGTGATGGCAAAAAAAAAATAGTAGTAAAAAGTTGTATATTTTTGTGTTTAAAATTCTTGTGTTCGAAATGTGCATATTTATAACTTGGAGTACAACTGTGATTCACATTTATTTAGCTAAGTTACGGTGTTTATTTTCATAACCATAGCTATTGATTTAAGAACTATGTACCTATGTTTTGGTTATTCTTTCTTTTTTTTTGGCATTGTTTGGATTCTTTGCTTAAACACTGTCACAACAGAAAATTAGATTGTGAATACATAAACAGTTTTAAAGCTTTGTTATGGGAATCATTTTCTGAACAGAATACTGTAAGATATGACAAGTGCAAATAGTTGATGATGAAAAATTTATAGGATGAGTTTAATAATGTGAAATTGTTGATGATGTTATTCTTACATAAGAGAATGTTACAGTTGATATTGTTCAAGTTTTAATCCTACTTTTAAATTTTCAGTTGTTGTTTTTTTCAGGTCTGTAAGAGTACTGCAGTTAACATTCAAATAATAATAATCTGACTGTAGGATTAATTTTGAAACACTTGCTATAGTATGGTGATTTATTTGAAATAAACTATTTACTCAAGAAAACTGAGCTTGCCTTCTACTGTTATTTATTTTAAAAAGAAACCTGGTGCCATTCTTTTCAGTTTTGGCCCGGCATGGCCAGGTGGATAAGGCGCTCGACTCACAATCTTAGGGTCGCGGGTTCGAATCCGCATCCCACCAAACATGCTCGCCCTTTCAGCCGTGGGGGCGTTAATAAGTGACGGTCAATCCCACTATTCGTTGGTAAAAGAGTAGCCCAAGAGTTGGCGGTGGGTGGTGATGACTAGCTGCCTTCCCTCTAGTCTTACACTGCTAAATTAGGGACGGCTAGCGCAGATAGCCCTTTGCGCGAAATTCCAAAACAAATCTTTTCAGTTATAGCCAAATAAAAGAAAAATAATAAAGTAGTAGTTAGTTTCACTTCCTACATTTAAATATCTAGTGGTTCCTATAAATTATCTTAAAACATTTCTTTTGTTTACTCATTGTTTTAATTTGCAAATATTTTGTTTTTCAAGCTAAAATACTACCTTCATTGTTGTTTACCCATGATTTTACCAAACAATTTTACCCCACTCTGTGAATTTGCAAAGTTTCACACTGTTTTCGTTTGACTAACATTACTTTCACTAATCGCTTCATTGAAAATGTATTTCATACTCCCATCAATGTAGTTGCATTAACTTCATGGTGTTTTCAGTGTACTTTTCATGCTGCAAGACACAAGAAATGGGTAGCATTACTATTTGAAGTTTATTGCCCAATACTCTTTAAAACAAATTGTATTGTTTGGAAAAATTTGCTACTGATTTTATCGTTAGGATGTTACAATATTTCTCACAATAAAACTAAGACGATAACAGTAGAGAGTCTTGCTGATACTATCCTTATGTATAGATTATTGAGAAATGAATTAATAACCGAATTCTTCCTGAACTCTTAGAGTACAACAGTGATAAAAAAATATTAATAATTATTCAATTGAGTTCAGATACTATTTCATATAGCAAATGAAAATTACTTTTTGCTTTGGCGAAGTCTAGAATAGAATTATTTAAAACCGAGCAAAAAGGCAAAATGAAAGACAAATTTTTGAAACACCGTTTTCCTCTCATCAGGAAGCAATAAACGAAACCACAATACATTTTTCATACATTATTTGGCCTGGTGGTTATAGCTATTGACTGGCAAACAAGCTCATCCTTTCAGCCCCAGGTATTATAATGTGATAGTCAATCCCACTTTTCATCGATAAAGAGCAGCTCAAGATTGATGGTGAAGGGTTTTGATTAATTGCTTTCCATTTAGTCTATCATTTCAAAATTAGGGACAGCTAATATAGGTAGCCCTTTAACAGCTTGAATGCAAAATTCAACAAACCAACCGACCTTGCTTTATTTTAAATGAATTTAAGACTAAACCTAACTGCAACATATAACCTATATAAAAGCGAGTGTGGGTCACGTCACGCTTGATTTCGGAAGTAGGTGTCATAAAAGCTAGAATAGATCGATTACTGTCTGCCCATTAAGATTTTAGTAAGTCTTTTCTGAATTAAGCTATTTTCTACATATTAGAAGTTTTTAATCTGATTTTTACCACTAATTATTCTACGAATACCCTTATTCCATTTGTCACTCTGTCAAGAATGCTTTCATGCTTCTTGTTTGTTAATGCTCAACAATATATATCGTAGCTTATCAACAAAGCTATTATGGAATGTTATAGAGTGTTTTTTTTTAACTATTATGAGATGTTATAGTAATTTTGACTATTACTAATGTATAGCCCGTCAAAAATGACAAGGCAAGTCCTATCACCTCCACCCTATAATATACCCTAACCTCGCATTTCACAGCTAACTGAAATAAATACATTTTGAGAAATCAAACTTGACTAACAAAGAGGCAGAAAAGTGAAGTCAAGGCAGTCGAATTGGGTAGACTTCCCACTTGATTGACCTACAAAATATTTATTTTAAGTAGTAATTGTAAGACATTAATGATATTCAAAGCATGCATTGTAAAGTTATTACTTAAACAACTGTGTAAATTACAACATATTTCTTCATGACTGTATAGAGTATATTACAACTGCCATATATTTAACACCATTATATACTGGAGACGGCTTAAATGGGTAATGAAGAAAAACTTTAATATAAGTTTAACATGACTTGTACATTTGCTCGTTTCGACAAGGTTTTGTTATCATCAGGTACAAGTAATTAAGTCTCAAAGTGGGTTCCTCGTCATCGAATTTGAATACGTTACTTACTTAACTTAGTAGCATCAGATTTACCCACAGCGACTAGCGCACCACATGTGACTGGACATCCTCATTCAAACTTAATGGAGGTTATAACTTCGAGGCATCATGATCTAATAATGGAGGACACTGCTGTCGACATTTATGCACAAGATGCATCTTTACAACCATACAGGCTTTACGTGAATAGAATGACAAAGAACAAAAGTAGCTAGAACTGAAGCTTTGTTGACCTGTTATGAGAAAATTACGTATACCAGATGAACTGAGAAATTCTAAAAAAAAAGAAGGTAGAAATATGTAACGTTCGAAATGAAAGTCAAATTAATTCTTCTACTCCAACAGCTCAGTATTTAGAGGAATTTATTTACTAATTAACAATCGATTTTTACTCAAAGAGAGTGAGCTGTAATGAAAAACAAATTATGATGCTAATTGAAAAAATAGAAACACTATGTTTTTTTAACGATTTTTTAGGTTTGAATAAGCTCTGAATTTAACTTATTTTGATATATATAAAAGAACCCAGGAAGGAGGCACCAGTAATAAATAATGTGAAGTAGAAAAATGGCAAACCCAAAATGACACCATCCTCTCCAAAGAAAAAAAAAAAAACACATCAGAATTGTATGCTTACTATTTTTACTTAATAATTTGTCCACATCTTCCATTAATACTGGTTCCTTTTTTTATCCGTGCTATTTTTCGTACTTGTATTGTTAATGGTGCCTTTTTACCGCTGCAATTATTGTTAGACTCCACTTTAAACTATACAGAAACTACATATGTTTCCCAATATTTAAATTACCCAGTGTAGAAAACTATAGTGTGACTACAATGAATCAACGAATTCTCAACAAATCGACTATATTCAAATCACTTAATCGATATACACTTAGGAATCGATATTCACATAACCTAGCTATCTATAGTAATATAGAAAGTTTTAATGCCACAAAAAGTACTGAAACAAGAAAGTCAAAACTACAAAATTGAGTTACTTAGAAAAAAATCCCAATACTTTGGTTCAGACTAGCATAATTACAGTGGTAGCGCGGGTAGAGTCGATTCGATTTTATTACTCATTAGGATCTTTACTAATCTACCCTGAAATATAATTATACGCTCAAAGTAACGCACATTCCGTTTTAAACACACACACATGCATGGGACCACAGATGGAAAAGTTCTGTGAAAGAATTAGAGTGATAAGGTTTATTATTTTTTCTGTACGTTTGTCTGGAAAAGTCACTTACTTACATACTTGGATGAAAATTCGTTGAAATAGTGAAATTTTGATTCACTCCATAAACACGTATATAGCGATTTAGGCGGCTTTATAAGTACAGTAAGCTTTAGTTTTGCTCACCCAATACTGTGAAATAGACATTGTTAATATTCAGGCGTTTTTTAAACGGGCGATTTTTATGACCGCCATTTTGTTTTGTCACGATCCCTACTATTAAGTTCTAGCGTACTTAATGATACAAAAAGTCATTGGTCATGTGACTATTTAGCTTACATGTTGAATTTAAAAAATATCACACTGTCTACATGTTCTTTGACTTTCTAACCCTTCACTGTTATTTAAGACATGGTAATTATTTTTAGTTTCATTGTGTTCAATAGAAATGTGTGAGAAATACAAAACATAAAAGTCCTGAAAAGTATTCGAAATGTAGGGTTAATATATTGTATAAACAACTCTTCCAGTAGCACGAGGTACGTATAAAGACCAGCAAACGAGTATAATTTTCATGCACACACAAATTTTGGCATCAACACTTCTAATGGTCTTATACGTACATGTTTATGTAACCAATAAAATAAAAAACAAATCAGATGATGTTTTACAAAAACACATTTTACATTTTTTTATTTTGTTTGGATAATCCTAAACGTTTCTGAGTTTTCAACCCGTTAACGTTTCACTGACAGAAACGTCTATGATCTTGCAGGAGGTCTAGCGTTCTGCTGTATTATAAAGAACAGTCGTGCGTGTCAAAAACTCGGAACACACATGATCAGAACAACGGAAAAAGACTGTGAAAGCTAAGCCACGCAATTTGTTAAAATGAAAGCAAGATTGTTGATGGATGATGCACGTAAACAGCGTTTGGAAAGATGAGGAGAGTAATTTTGGGCTTGCAGATGCGCAAAACTGACATGTGTTTACGACAGAAAGATCATATCTTGAGATACCTCTATTTACCTATGATAAATTAACTATCATTTGAATACGACAAGGTAAAGGAAATTATTAAGGATTAACCGTCACTGGAAAATAATGGCTTTTGTTGCTCTACGTCTGCATCAGACAACCGTAATAAATAATGAAGTATATTACGAACCACAATTATGCTAAACGCACACACACAAATAATTGCTTCTGTAAAACTACCCACGCCTATGACGGTTGGATCGAGAAAGCTGATTCCTTTAATAAGAGTTACCGTTTAGAATCTACGTAATGTAACTATATATATGGTACAAATATATATATCATTGCTCAAGGTAGGTTTCAAACGATGAAATATAAAGCACACTAACAATGTTGCACGAAAACAAAACCAGTTACAATTGGTATGTAATAATGGAGAGATATATATTTATGGCAACGGATTGTAGTCAGTCAGTTAATTAATTGGTTTTCTTTGGGCAGCATGACTAGTTCCAAGAATTAATCATTATCTTACATTTTTTAATATACTTCGAATATCATTATCTGAAAATTAATGTTTTCTTCATAAATGGATTTTAATAATACACACGTATTAA